ATTAATTTGAAAATTTTGAGAAACACGTTATAATAATACTCTTGCTGAAGAATGTCAGTTCGTGAAAAAGAAAGCCTACTAGACTAAACAGTAACATGTTATTAATAAAATATTTTAAATTATTTTTGTGTGTAAAGTAAAATAAATTATATACCGGGTGTTACAAAAATACCCGTTATAGCTGAAGGGTGTTGAAGTATATCATATAAACAGTACTCTGCCAAATTTTCAAAACCTTTGCATTAACTTTTAACTTTCAGTAAAAAAGCTAATTTTTAATAATTAATAAATACATCGAGTGTGCTATGTCACATCACTATTTTAGGTTAATGACCTTACCAGGAGTAATGGCACACTACCTACCTCCTATGTTTTCTAATTTTTTTTTCTATTCACTAAGAATGAGAGAGAAAATATACTTAAAAACATATCTGCGTTTGCCAGTTTACACAGTAAATACTTAACCTATTTCGATCGAAAATAAAATGAAAAGAAAATAAATAGGAATCAAATCATTGGCAAAATGGTATGGTAACCGACGCTGGTCAGCCGGGAGTCTAATTTCAGTAAAATTTTCATAATACATATTATTATCAACACGCACATCATTTCATAGCGTCGTTTCCGATTCAGCTGTTTCTGAATTACAGATCAAACACCATTTTAAGTAGTACCTATTTATGATAGATAGGTAAAATTTATTTAAACACTGATATACGAGTCTAACTTTTAATTCATACTTTAATAGTCCGACAAATCTGATTGATATTACGATAATAAAAAAAAATGATATGCGACATAATTCACAAACGATTTTGGCGTATTTAAAAATAAATATTTGCGAATTACTATTTGTACTTTACCTTTTCACTTCCTTATTCACTGTTTAAGCATTACTTGTGAGGTTCACTCACCTACACTTTATTATGCACTTAATTTTATTCCACAAGAAAAAACTAAAGATCGCGGCCAACCTCTGATTCACTGACGTTTCAGTATAATTACATCTTTTCAAAATAGTCTCAATTTATATCTATACAACACTGCATCCGATGTAACACTGATAAAAACACTTTTCATAGTACTCAGAATTAGAGAACACGGATATTTTCGAAACGTGATCACATCGACGACGTATGAACAACTGAATAAAGAAAAAGTGATAAAAAGGGAAAGCCGCCAATTGAGTCCTTTATTATAAGCCGCTGCATAGTGTGCGGCATGTCAAAAGCGCACAGAAAGGTACCTATAGTTCCGCAATTAAATCTGAGAAGTAGCGGGATAGGGTTGCCATCTTCTCTTATTAGATCGGAAATTTTGTCCTTAAAGCCGGACTAAGTCAAATCTCTCTCGAAGCCGTAAAACAATATTATCGTAGTAGACAGTAATATTAGTTCACGGTTTCGCGAGGGTTACTGCCTAGTTATTCAGAGGGTGCGTTAAGCAAAAATCACTAACTTTCAATTGATTTTGTAGTAAGACGTAACATACAAATAAGCGGTAATTAAATATAAGAATACTACATCATAATTTTAACGCTTTTATCTCAACCAAAACGTGAATTCATAAAATAAGGCTTGATCGTAACATCAAAACTGCAGAACCTATTTTGAAAAAGGTTTTTTTTTATAAAGTAATTTCGGAGACTATACGATGCAAACAAAATGATTTGTATTCAAATTTCGCAAATGCCCGTGCAAATCTGCGTCTTTTAGGTATTTGGGTATTTGACGTTATTCGAATTTGTGTGTATTCATAGTTTGTTTGATATAGCTTAGGCACAGGTATACCAAATGTGACACGGACATGTGACATTAACATTATGCTGCACACAATCTAAAAAGTCAAACATGTCCCGCTAAAGACGGATAGATGGCAACCCTAGACAGGCGGCAATGTTAAAGTTTGAGCCTAAACTTCTAGTTGCCTAGTACCAAGGTGATCAACATTTTATTGTACAAATTAAAAAAAATCGTCGCAGGACATTGTTGCAACAAATTTTTTTTACATACGTACGTAAGTACATAATACGTAACGTACATAACGTGAACTGTTGTGTTATGTACGTTACGTATTATGAATGTTACGTATTAGGAATTGTTAATTGACAAAGATTTTGTAAATTTTTATTGTTGTTGATAAGATAGTACATGGTTGTATTTTTAGTGTTTACAATCTTAAACGTTGTTAATGTTTGGTAAAGACTAGTTGAAGTGAGAAATGTGATATACTTTCACGCTGCACCTGCAAAAGAGTATGCTTGGCTCAGTCTGTAGAGAGGAAGTAGCATCGACTATCATAAGACATCGTTAAATAAATAAATAAATGTATTTCGTGGGCTGTAGTAATCTGCATACAATATTTAAACTTTTAACTCATTTTATACCTTTTCTATTTTGAACTATTTTTCAAATAAATGACCATTTGTTTGTTAGCTGTGTCGGTCGTTTTAGGGCTTTTTCTATTTAAGGAAATAGGTAAACAGTACATAATAAAACGTCTCATTCATTTTCAATTCTTACAGCATTAAAATAGTGAATCCTATACTCTGATTCTAAAATTCAGTTGAATAGCCCACAGTAATAAAATAGATAATAAATTAAAATCCGTACCAAATCTTTACTACTACCGTATCTAGCGTCAAGTCGTCACTCGCGCGCGACATCACACAAACACGAACGATAATGTTTCGTTTCTTTCTCTCTCTCTCTTTCCCTCCCTCTCTATCTCTATCTTACGTCATTGTACACTCGGGGGAATAAGTGAATTTGTTTTAGGCTCGATATTACCGATTATGTATTGATTTGTCTTATGTATTTAAATACCTAACAATAAAAAATATTTTTAAGAGTTAAGCTAATGAAGTTATTTCTTAGCACCGGTTTTTTTTATAATTAGTTGTGAGCAGTTTGATAAAACTAGGACTTTTGACTAGTGAAATATAAAAAAAACTTCAGTTATTGAGAATATTCAGTTGAGATTTTGTACTTTTCTCAATTCAGAAAGCGGCTCTTTGTCGACATTTTTTCTTGTCAGACGCTTTTAAGATACCTAAGTGTAGTGCATATCATTTACTCTAAGGTAGCAATCCACTTTACTTGACACAATTTACATGTAGTAAGAGTAAGTGGTTGAAACCATAATCGGGAATGATCATATTCCCGATTAAGGTTCATATTCCATTTTAAGTCTGATCTTTTTATTGTAAAAATATTAGAAAAGCAATAAATTGGCCATAAACACAATTGAAATATGTACACGAATATTGATCAATGTTTCAATTTATTCCCCGACTGTATCTGCGCTGACGTCATATTAGGTTTACTTTCGTAACAGAAGATTGTAGGTACGAGTACCAGGTTATCATGATTTAAAGACACGATGTGTAAAAATTCTGTTTCAAAGATGAAGCAGCTACAGATAGACAAAGTTACCTGGAAGAGACTCGGTGATATACGTCGCCTACTTTCATAATATTGTAATTATTTTCATAAAAATGAAACTACCTAATTATGAAAAAAAAATTGTTCGTGCAATAACCAATATAATATGCAATAACCTACTTATCTAGAGGTCGCGATATTTCTTCTTCCTCTGCTTCTCTATTTGTTTAGATTAGATGAAATTGATTTTATGAGTACATTATTGAGTGACGTGTCGTAGCATTAATTAAAAAGATTATTATTTTGGATGGGCCGTCTACAGTTCGTAAAGAGATATTGTACGAGCATTTCAGGCGAAAGTATTTAATCCAGTGCAGTGACCATAGTGTACTGTTTATTGTTTGTTTCCGTGCCTGATATGTGCGTAGCACGAGCATGGCAAGGTATATTGGAAAGGGAGCTCTAATCTGAATAAAAACGAATTTTGGAAAAAGTTTTAAAATAATGTTTTCGTGTAATATTTTGCATGTTCGAATATTTGCGTACACATAACTAGATAAATTATTTCGCTGTACTGTGACGTAGGCACTAAATACCAGTAGATATAACCAGTCTGGCAAAATAATAGTCTTTGATTTAGAAGTCAATGAACTGAAACAGCTGATCATAATGTCGGTGTGCTTCGATAAATGGTATCGAAAATTTTGCTATACTTCGATATTGTTTTTTCAATAAATACAATGGCTACGATATAAAGGACAGCGTCCATTATCTCAGTTTTATGTATACTCAATGCCATTTTCGGGGTAACGGGTTTTTTTGTAACACGCGGTATATAAGAACATGTTAATATTTAAGATATCTAGGTGGAATTATAAGTTCTATCTATTTAGGAAAACTTGTCAAGCCTTGCGCGCTCCTGCAAGCAATATACAACAATCATATTTCAATCAGTTTGAATCTGCTATTAAGAATTCTTGTCAAAAAAATCTTATTTCAAGGTGTCTAATTATGAATTGGATTAGGTAATTCCCCCTTTCACTCTTTATTATTAAAAGTAATGTTATGTTGCCAAAATAATCTTACAATGGTAATATAATAAGTGACTATTGTAATATTGGTTTTTGTATTACATATTTTATGTTAAATATTGTAATGGAAAGTTATTTCATAAAGTCAGTTGTTGGTTACACATAATTCATATTGTTGATATTGATTTAGTAATAACATAATAACATTTTTAAATAACTACTATTAGAGCTGGTGAGCTTGTTTCGTTCGTTATTCTTATCAGCCGAAAATATCCTGAACAAATGGTAGGTAAAATGTTGGACGATTCAAAAGTAAAGATATTTTGACTTTAACTTTCGAAAAAGATAGCGGGGGTGTGATAGCACTCTGTGGAATCTTCAAGGCAATAATAAGAAAGAGCTGTTAAATCTTTTGCAACTGCGTCATGTGTGTATTGCCTCACCGGTTCACGATATGGGTAAAGGATGTTTTATTAAGAAGTTGGGATAGGTTGATAGTAAATTTGAATGTGATTTGCTAGTGAAGTAATTTTATTTCCAGTTAAAAGTAGGGAGCTGACTGTGAGTATCATCGATGATTGGAGAATTAAACGTTGATGATTCCGACAGCACCATTACCGCACCCACACGTGGCGATGCCAGAGCCAGCCGTCGGCAATGTACCCTCGAACGCCACCGCGCTCAGGAACGGCAGAGAACCGCTCACCAACAAGGTGCCGTCGATCACGTTCTCTGACGCCACAGCGAGACCACTAGGACCAATGGGAGAAATGTTTGTGACGATCAGAGGGCTGCTCGAACCGACGGTGAGACCGTTCAAGTTGAAGGTAACGCCATTCAATGCAGAACCGACGACACCTGCGTTACCGCCAATAACGCCCACGCCGCTGCCAATACCTCCACCAATCAAACCGACTCCACTGCCAATACCACCGCCAATCACATTGACGCCACTGCCAATGCCCGTGCCAAGCAAACCGAAACCACTTCCAAATCCTGTGTTAATCATGCCGGCGCTGCCGATTCCGGTATTAGCAACTCCATAGGAATTAATTCCAGTGTTAGCGATATTGATGTTGCCAGCACCTGAATTTCCCGAGACAATGTTCTCCACAATGGTGTTGCCGTTATAGACTTGACCAAAAACAACCTGAAATTGAAAAAAAAATCGCAAGTTATTTATATTGAATTTAAAAAATGCTCTTTTCATTAATTAAAACATTATGTATTACTACTTCACTACTAAATTACTAGAGGTTCTTTGGCCGAAGTGTTTCGCCAAGAGTTGAAATCAATCGTTACACTGTTAAATTTTATTATATGTTTATTTTTTTTTACCTGGACGAAGAGAGCCGAAGCAACAATGAGGACTTTTTGAGCTGCCATTTTGGTTTCGATAACAAGACTGTGATTGTTATGTATCTAAATAGTAGTTTATATACATATTGAATTTCGCAAATATGTGGTCTGATGTATTGTTCCGTATCAATAACCCAAATAAATAGTTTCAGGTTATCAGCTTTTCTATTTCAAAACTTTACGATTTTATTTCTTTACGTGACAATAAAATAAGTTGAAAATTCAGCATGTGACCTAACTTATAGGAATTACAAGATAACGTTTTGCGATATAAAAGTCAGCCTCTTTTTTGGAGCTATCATTGTAAGGTCAACAGACATACGAACAACAATCATGCGTACTTCAACCTTCTTCTTGATCTGCTTTCAGGCTTTACTCATTCAGGTATTATTTTCAGTTATATTTCCACTTTTTAATGCATTAAAATTTTAAATTAATGAATAAATATATTTGAAAGGATGTTTGAGTTTTGTTATTGCCATATAAAAAGAGCTAAAATTTAATGTGAAATATTTTACTAATTTACAGAATGCCTACAGTCAACTGATGAACTATGGGTTTTTGGGTGACACTGGCGTCGATTTTGCTGCCATTGCTGCCAGCAGTGGTTTGGCTGGACTCAATGGATACTTTGAAAATGGTGGCCTTATTAACAACGGCCTTGGCGTGAACACACTTGGCCTTGGTGGTCTTGGTGTTAACACACTTGGCCTTGGTGGTCTTGGCGTTAATAACCTTGGGTTTGGCCTTGGAAATGCTGGTTTAACTGCAGCTGGATTGGAGAATGTTGGCGTGGCTGGTCTTGGAGTTGGCAATATCGGACTTGGTCTTAGTAACGCCGGCTTGGCTGTAGGTGGATTGAACAATGCTGGCTTAGGGGTTGCCGGGCTCGGATATGGCGCTGGTCTCGGAGTACAAAACGTAGCTGCTACGTCCCAGGTGCCCGTTACCGGCCCGTTCACTGCTACTGGCAACGCTGAACTCGTGGTCGGAGGTGATTTTGGCGTCGGCGGTCAAGCCGTAGTCGGCGGACAGATCCCAGTGCTCGGTGCTGTTGGCTTCTCTGGTGCGATACCCGCCAGTGGCGTCGTCTCTATCGCTGGAAACTGCGGCTGCTCGACCATACCCTTGTAAAATTGTGTTAAAAATCTATATTTCGCTATAGACGGAAAATAAATAAAGGGCGCATACTGAATTCTATTCTTTTAATATATTATACGATGTATTCAGAAAGCTCACGTCAGCAAATAATAAATAATTGGTAAATTTTTGTCACACAAATTTATAAATTGACTGCATTTTCCTACGGTTATAGTCATATAATATAAATGTCTAAGTAGTTTTTACATATAATGGACCGAATATAGTGTCCAAGTTAATGTCTAAGTGAGGAAATTTGGAGCCCCCTAATCTAAATATTTACAAAAGGATATTTACATGCATTGTCTATTCTAAGCATATCCTAAATCACAAAACATTGGCTTAACGTGATTGATAATCCCATTCACGCTAAGTCAATGTTTTGTGAAGAAAAGAAAAAAACTCAGGCAATCACAACTATACTCCAGAGCCAAAAAAACTGAAATTAATTCATATCTTTTTGACGATACGTCGTGTGAACATAATTTTTAAACCATGACTTTACAATTCAAATCTGAATCAAATTGCCTATATATTACCTATAACAATATCTCATTGCCAAAAATCAGTTATTTTTCAGTTACCCCGTATCTCCATAAAAGTTACAAATCCCAAAAATGATTTAATTGCTTTTTGTCTTATTATACTGTAAATAACAGGAATTTAGGCGTGACTGTCAGAATTTAACGATATTAATAAAAACTCCCAACTTTACTGATCATACGACGGAAAACAGAAAGTGGGTATCTTATTAAAAGGTCGTAACTAGACTAAGCTTAAAATCTTGAAATCGGAGTATTTTTTAAAAGTGCGCTAAAAGGGCGTAAGTGGACATAAAAAAGCAACAATTTTAAACTTTTTTGAGATACTAAAAGTGAAATTTTGTGCTTTAGAAAAGCAAATTTACATGGTTACTGAATAAATACACTATATCAGATACGGATATCTTGGCGGGATCTTTTTTTAAAATAGATCTATTTAAGACATTTTTTAGGATAGTATTTTTCAAATGACTACTTTAATCTCTTAGGATACTACAGTTCGAGAGCCACTAAAACACTATTACCTGAGTTAATATTTTGTAATTTAGGTGGTCACAACGAATCGTAAATTGTGTCATTTCAAGAGCATTTTAGTTTATTCTTGCCTACGCCCCGACATGACTTTCTATTTAAGTTGCGGTGATAAAAGGTTCTTCGTATTGTTTGAGTTCTAATCCAGTCTTATTTACGGAAATAGACAAAATACTGAATAAGTTTACAATTCAAAAGGAGAACATTTTAAAGAAATTTCCCACGATCCATTCATAATGTGCCCCACAAGTAAAAGTCTCAGAGTGCCAGAAGCAATGTGTTGGGGATGGAAACAACAGTTTGGAGATTTGAAGGCGTTTATTCTTTCTTCTTATTTGCAGTACAAAGTACGAAAACGTTCGTAGGCATGCATTCATACAAATCGGGTTTACTTAAGTGGGATTTGTTCGTTCGCACTTAGCTACTATCCTAACGCGTTAATTGACCTAATAGATTCATGTTATGTCGGTGCCCCTTCCACTATGCGGCGGGGAGGTCGCGGGGGGGTGCTCCCGTCGCTGCTGCCCGTGGTGTGCCCCCTCCACTCGTTGCGGGGGTGAGGTTGCGGGGAAGGGTCTTCATGTCCGCCGTCCGTAACAGTTCTCCCCCCGGCGAAGAGACGCTGGAAGAGATGCTCGGAGCCCCTTTCGCCGGATCGGACGGCTCGCCAGGTTCAGGATCGCAGCGCGTCCCTCCCCGCTGGTCCGGGGGAGGTGCGGATAATGTGTCCAGTGTCTCGGTGGTCAGCACGATGAGCTTCCTCGTTGGTCGCCGAAACAGCCCACCTCTGGTGCGTACGTCGGCGCTTCGGATCTCGCCGTCGGGCCCGGGGAAGATGCGTTCGATTACTCCCCGGGGCCAGATGTTGCGCGGTGAGTTCGGGTCGGCGATGATGACGAGATCGCCTACTCGAAGTGCGGCTTCTTTTCTTGTTTCGCCCCTCGGTACCAGCGTCGGAAGATATTCCTTCATCCAGCGCTGCCAGAAACTGTCGGCGAGCGCTTGGGTGGCCCGCCATTGGCGCCTGTCGCAGGGTCGACAGGGGCCGGTGAGTGGTAGACCTGATGATGTTCCTAGGAGGAAGTGATTCGGTGTGAGGGCTTCGGCGTCGGCCGGGCTGACCGATACGTGGGTCAACGGTCGTGAGTTCACCGCGTGTTCGGCTTCGGTCATCAGCGTATGGAGCACCTCTTCTTTCGGTGCCCTCTCGTGCAGCGTTGTGGCTAGAGCTGTCTTGACGGACCGCACTAGTCGCTCCCATGCTCCCCCCTGGTTGGGTGCGCCAGGGGGGATGAACTTCCATTCGACGCGCCGTTGCAGCAGGTAATCTTGTAGTCTGGGAGCCCATTCTCGTATGGCCGCTTGTAGTTCCTTGTCGGCGCCTTTGAAGTTCGTTGCGTTGTCGCTCATTATAGTTTTCGGCCATCCACGCCGCGCTGCCATTCTTCTTATCGCCATTATCGCCGATTCTGTGCTGAGGCTTGCCACAACTTCTAGATGTATCGCTCGGGTGGTTAGGCAAGTAAACAATGCGCCCCAGCGCTTCTCGTGGCGTCGTCCTACGGTGACGGTCATTGGCCCGTAGTAATCGAGGCCACAGCACGTGAAGGGCCTGAGGTGCGGGCTGAGTCGTTCGCGCGGTAAGTCCCCTGTAGATGGCGTTGTTGGCTTCGATCTTCTAACTCTGCACATCACGCATGCGCGGGTGGCGGTGCGAACCGACGGACGTAGGCGCAATATCCAGTAGCGTTGTCGTAATTCGTTGATGACACGCTCTCTGTTTGCGTGACCCGCCGCTTCGTGTTCTCTCACGATGATCTTCCGTGTGAACGGGTGCTTTCCGTCCAATATGATCGGCTTCTTCATTTCTTCTGGTACTGTCGCGGCGTTTATTCTTCCTCGTGCGCGCAGTACTCCGTTCATCAGCTCGGGGTCTAACTTGTATAGGCGGCTTGACTGTGGTATCTTCTTTCCTTGTTGAAGCAGTCGTATTTCGTCGCCGAAGGACTCTCGTTGCGCCCGTCGTAGCCACATATCTTCAGCTCGTGTCATGTGGCGTAGTTCCAACTGGCTGCCCTTTCGATGCCATTTTTCGATAGCCAATAGTACTAAGGCCGTGGCGCGGATGAGGCATTCGTATTTGCCGATTCGTTCTATATTCGGCATCGCTTCATTTTCGTTCGTAGAAGAGACGGTCGTGTGGGCCACTATTTCTTCGGAGATGGGTCCCTCTTCGTTGCTTCGTGTAGGCCATTCCTCCCTGTCGCGCAGCAGGAACTCCGGTCCGGATAGCCATCTCGCGGGGACGACGTCGGCGTATTTTGTTCGAGTTGCGTCGTCGGCCACGTTTAATTCGGTGGATATCCATCGCCATTGATTCGGCTCCGTTCGTTCGGCGATTTCACCCAGTCGGTGTGACACGAAGGCGGTGTAGCGGCGTGCGTCGTTGTTGATCCACGCGAGTACAGTTGTTGAATCCGTCCAAAACACCGTTTCGTCGATTGCCCATCGGTGTTCGGTTTTTATCGTGTCCGCCAATCTTGTCCCGATAACCGCTGCTTGTAGTTCTAATCGCGGAATACTCTGCGCTTTGAGAGGCGCTACCTTTGCTCTTCCGCTCACTAATGCTACGTGAGCCTCTCCGTGTTCGTCCTCGATCCTCCAGTAAGCGACCGTGGCGTAGGCGCTCTCGCTGGCGTCGCAGAACACGTGTAGCTCCCGTCGTCGACATTTCGTTGCCGTTGTATAGCAGCGTGTGATTGCTATCTCTCCCATGCGATGTAAGCCCCGTAGCCATGTGTGGAATTTATCGGCGTCTTCTTGTGGTAGCGGCTCATCCCACCCAATTTTCCTTCGCCATAGATCTTGGAGGAATATTTTCGCGGCGATTGTATATGGGCTCACTAGTCCGAGTGGATCGTACACGGACATGACAGCCGACAGAGCCTCTCTTTTCGTCGGCGATCTTCTTTCTTCTTTCACCTCCACGGGTACCCGTGCCATGGTGGTGTTAAATGTCAAGTTGTCTTCGGCGGCGTTCCATAGGAGTCCCAGTGTCTTCTCGAAGTGATTGACGTTCGCGCCGAGTCGGGTCGGTGACTGGGCGTGTAGTTCGGTGGGTATGGTTGCTAAGACGGCTGCGCTGTTTGAGTTCCAACTTCGCAGCACGAATCCCGCTTGCCGATGGACGTGCGCCACGCTGTTTACAATTCTGGTGGCCTCTTCTTCGGTGTCGTAGCTGTCCACGTAATCGTCCATGTAGTGACTACGTGTTATTGGTTGTAGTGCTTCCGGATGCGAGTCGGCGTAGGCTTCGGCGTTAGCGCTTCTTACGCTATGTGCGATGAAAGGCGAGCTTGCCGCGCCGAAAATCAATGACGTCATCTTGTATTTCTGGGGCGGTTTTGTTCGTTCCGTTCCTCGCCACAGAAACATTTGAGCGGGCTGATCCTCTTTTCTGATTTTAATCTGCAAGAACATCTCTTGAATGTCGGCGGTTACGGCGATCGGTTTTTCTCGGAATCGGAAGAGTATTCCTTGCAGCGACGTTAATAGGTCTGGACCCTCTAGTAGTTCTTGATTAAGGCTGGCATCGTTCGTAACGGCGGCTGCGTCGAAGACGAGGCGTAGCTTGCCAGGCTTGTTGGGATTCTTCACCGCAAAATGCGGTAGGTACCAGCTCTTCGGGCTCGCTTGTTCGGTGCCGTCGCATTGCTCCGCGTATCCTTTTTCGAAGAGGTTTTCGACTTGCGCTCTGTAAGCCGCGGCGAAGGACGGGTCGCGATCCATTTTTCTCTCTATGCCTTTCAGTCGTTTCAGAGCGTTGTCATAGCTGGGCGGCATCGTCACGTCGTCCGTACGCCATGGTAACCCCACCTCGTATCTTTTATTCGTGCGGCGCATTGTCTTCGTTACTATAGC